ACTGAATCACATGATGAAAAAGTTATTCCCATTTCTACTCTCTTTCAAGTCTTTGACTCCATCAAGGGGAAAAGTCTCGACTTTTAATACCTAATAATACCCGTGATCTTCACAGGCCTCAAAGAGACTGCTTTCCACATGCAACTGTAACCATCAAGAATTCCGTAACATTGTTACGTTCTTGTTTTTACCATTATCTTCTACTCAGAGCAAGTGGCTTTCTGCTTACAGGGGTGATATGAATTTTCCTTGCAAAATGCATTTAAAAGCAAGCCATTTAAAGGACAATACTAGGGCCAGCCCCGTGGCTTAGCGGTTAAGTGCGCGCGCTCCGCTGCTGGTGACCCGGGTTCGGATCCCGGGCGTGCACCAACATACCGCTTCTCCAGTCATGCTGAGGCCACGTCCCACATACAGCAACTAGAAAGATGTGCAGCTATGACATACAACTATCTACTGGGGCTTTGGGGGAAAAAATTAATAAATAAAATTATAAAAAATAATAATAATAAAGGACAATACTAGACAAATGAAGGTACAAGGAGAGACGCAGAAAGGGCAAAAATCATGACGGCTGTATTCCAATGGCCAAGTTTCAGGAAATGCTGCTGAGGGCACTAGGGAGTCACCCAAATTCTGAGCCAGGGAGGGCTGGGGCCAAATCTAGGCCTTGGAGAGACAACTCTGATTAAAGGGAGAGGCCAGATGTCGGGGCCTGATCAGCAGAGTCCTGAGCCAATCCAGGTGGAAAATGAGGCAGGTCAGGGGCCAGCCCTGATGGCCTAGTGGTTAAAGTTCAGTGTGCTCTGCTTGGGTGGCCGGGGTTCGCTTCCTGGTTGCGGAACCACACCACCTGTCTGTCAGTTGCCATGCTGTGGTGGCGGCTCACATAGAACTAGAAGGACTTACAATGTGGATATACAACCATGCCCCGAGGCTCTGGGGTGGGCAAAAATATACATATTAAAAAAAAAATCAGGGCCGGCCTTGTGGCTTGGTGGTTAAGTGCGCGCGCTGCAATGCTGGTGGCCCGGGTTCGGATCCCGGGTGCGCATCGAGGCACCACTTCTCCCTCCATCCTGAGGCCGAGTCCCACATACAGCAACTAGA